TATTACGTACTTTAATTACAGTTTTAATTCAGCCATTTCTCTTTTTATCCTCTGTGTATCAAACTTTTTTGGCTAATTATGAAGCGATTCAAAAAACTCCAGCAACAACAATATCGCTTGACTGATATATTTCTGGTTTTCATGGGGGTGTTTTTTGTTAACCTCTTTCTTTGCGATGACCTGATTAAGGTGTTACTGGGGTTTTGATCCATCTGAGTTTATCCTCTTTGTAAACCTGGTACATCAAATCCATAGAGCGAAGGTTTACATTAAAGAGACGGATGCAGTGCAGGAGGTCAGATACCCAGCCAAGCTTTCCACTCCTGAATATAATACGGGATTTAGTCCGTTAAAACAGCCATGCTGCTCCACATTTCGCCCTTCGTCCCCGTCCTCGTACTCCGCTTCACAACGACCGCTGGCAACCACAGCTGATGTCTGACTGATGGGAGGCACGACGTGCAGGCCGCTGCTCTGGATGTGGTGGTTCTGAGGGACAAAGGTAGCGGACGAGCTTGTGCTAACTTGTGGTTCTGCCACCAGACTGTCGACTCTCAGCTCCTCCCACAGGTTACCTGCAAAAAAGGAACCACAGGTCATATTTTAGAGAGCAACACCAATCATTATTTAGCAGGGATGCTACACTCACACAACAGTTTGCTATTTTGTTATTTTTACAGTTAAAGCAGCCTGCAGAAATGCAGACTGATCTAAAGTTGTGTAAAAGATTATGATGGGCTTTGTCTACCAAGCAAGGAACTCAACTCTTCAGTGCTCTCTGGTGGGCAAACTATGCAACTAAGACACAGCTCCTAAATTCCCTTTTCTTTCCTATCAGCTTTTAAACCAGTTTGTCAGTATCAGTAATAAATATCTGCTGAAGCTTGCACAAGCAAATCTTGGTGCACTCATTTTCCCTCCGTATTGTCCCTGTCTTTCATACCTTGCAGCTGAAGGTCAGTCAGACTGGGGTTGAGCATGTCAATGTCATAAGTGGTGTCTCCCTCCAGCAGAAACTCCTGCATGGTGGTCCTGGGCTCAACACTGTAATCACACTGGAGAGCATTGTTATAAACAGGTGGTATCTTCCCAGCTACCGGTGAGTTGAGGCTTCCAGTGGATGATGGGATACCGGCTGCAGGCTGCTGTCCACAGGGTGAGAAGAGGGCGAATGAGTTGCTGGGGTGTGTGACAGCAGGGGGGAGGTAGAAGGGCTGCTGAGGCTGAAGGTGAGCATAAAGTGACTGGCAAATGGGCTGGCATGCTGGGCGAAGCTCAGCTGGAGTACAAGTAAAAGCGGAGGGGTTGTAGACGGGGGTCGCTCTGGTTAATGTGCCTGATTTGGGGTTCAGTGGCACAGACCTGAGTCTTTCCGGTCTTTCTCCCAGTAGTCGATCAAGATCTTCTACAGGAAAAGTAAAACAAGCAAAATAAGTAGTAGAAAAGAATCTTCTGTATACCTTAATTTCTACTCTGCAATTTCTCAGGTTGGATACCTACGGGACTGACCTGGCTTTGCCATGCTCCTGCGAATAGTAACGGGGTCTTTCCGGCGCCACTTGTGCAGCTCCTCCTGCATTTTCTCCACCTTGGCTGGATTGAGCGCCCACAGGCAGCCTTTACGAGACGTGCTGCCATTCTTGTTCTCCACCTTCTCAAAGCACTTATTCAGGGACAGATTGTGCCGCACAGAGTTCTTCCATCCATCAGGAGCCGTCTGAACACAGGAAGAAAAAGATAAATGAAGAACATTTATGTTAAAAGTGAACCACTTGGCTGCCGGGACACCTCAAATGACTTTAAACAAACTGGACAAATTCTCCTGATGGCTCATGAATGTTATTATGATTCATTGTTTCGGGGAACACCCTATACAGAATTCCAAACAGAACATTTTTCCATAGTTTCCACAGTTTTTTTTCCACATCTTGAGTATGACTTTGAAAGAAACTCGACCTCACTTGCCTGATTGTCTTCCGCTGCATGTGTTACATTCTTGTTAAAATATCTTGAGAGCAACTATAAATTAATTGTGAACCATCTAATAAAATCAGGGTACTCAGTCCACCCTGCAGGGAATATTACAACACACAGTATATTAATATTGCCACCATCTGCTCTGCCAGTAAATGGTATCTGCATGCCATAACAAGTGTCCACTGAACTGCACATAAGTGATGTGTTGATTGAAGCATTTAGACGTATCTAGAAACAGCTTTTACAAAGTGAACCCAACTTTTCTTCAAATATCACTTCATCTGTCTCATGTATATTCGAGCCCTGCAGCATATGTTTAACTTTTTTTTCATTCTTTTTTTTTTTAGGCAGCTGTTTGGAAAACAGCCATCTATAAGCCATCTTTAATATGAATGGCAGCAAGTCTTTCAGCTCCCTCCAGAAGTTACTCTGAACCTATTGAACTGATTCATAGATGGATGTAAAATGTAAAATATTTGTCGTTTGCAGGGTTCAAGTCCAACCCTGCAGCTGCCTCATTTATCAAAATTAATGAATAAAGGCATTCATTTTTAACATGATCACATCTGTCAACTGCTATACAAAAATTTATTATTTATATATCTCTGTTTTTACATCAGCTCTGACACAATGCGGCTTTAACCACTAAAAAAAGTATAAAAGTATTTTATCCATCCATTCATTTTCTTCCGCTTTATCCGGGGCCGGGTCGCAGGGGCAGCAGCCTAAGCAAAGAAGCCCATGAAGTGATTTCCATGGTTCCCAGAAAAAAATTGCAATATCAGTAAAACATTTAAAATCGCTTAATAATGAAAAATGCTCCATTTAAATATATGAGCTACTGTCTTACAACTATTTTCTGTTACGTTTGTTAACAATTGTATTTTTCTGTCCTTT